ACGCGACCGTGACCGCTAATTCTCCCAAATATCGTCCGGAAGACCGACATCATTGAAAGGTGACTTCACGAGGGAGAATGAATGGATGCGGAAACAAAGATTTTGAAGAGCTGGACACTTCATAATGTACGGTATGACGCTGCTTCCTTCGCACAAAGCCTCACCGGAAGAGGCGCACATCCAACTCTTCTCTCTTTTGTCGCGAGTCGTTCTCCTCTGTTCGGGATTCTTCCGACCCGGATTCAGGCTTATACGAGACCCGGTTGAGGACAGAGTCGCAGTTCAACATGAGGGGACGCTGGATCTTGACCTTTCTCGCCCTCGCGATCCTCCGCTGTCGTGAGTCCAAACGCTTAACTCATGGAGTTGCTTAACTCATCGGCTGCGATGCCATCCGGAAGTGCTCGCGATTCGTGTTTGTATTTATCGGCACTGTGAGCAACAACGCGAATGCAATTCTCACGGTACGGTAGATTACGATTCCACATGAAAATAATATATATATAAAATGTCAAATTTGGTCGAACGTTGGGCCAATATCGGACCGATTGGTCATATTCTAGGCAAAGCTACTTCTACAAGCATGGTACGTGCCCCCACTTTTCTGCATTCCCCTCTCAACACACTTCGAACTTTCTTCGAAATGGAATTTCTCTGTTCCAACGAGAAAAACGAGGTTGATTCCGAGGCGGATATCAGACACAAGACGGCACAGTCAATGCCACTAGAGGTGGATTTGCACAGATTGATTAGACACGAAACCCCCTAAAATATTTATCCTATCTGTTGCTCGAAGTGCTGATAAATCACGCGTGTTGCAAAATTTGTTGGAGAGAGGTATATTTTACATCGGCGGAAATTTTTATTGAATATGTCAGCACAAAAAGTTTATCTGGAAGCTATGCCCCCCCCCCTCCCTCCTCCTCCAGCCACGTCCTAATTACATCGCTGAATTCAGCTTACGAAGGGAACAGAAATAAAGGTTTCGGCAGGGTTGTCAACACAACCCACGTCCCCGTTGACTTAGCCTGTCGCCTTATCCAGTTCCTGTCGTTCGAGCGACAAACTTTTTTTTTCTTCCCTTTGAAGAATTATCGATCAGAATGGACTCATAAAGGCGTTCCACAGCCATACCGAGCAAAATTTCCAATGGGCAGTGCCCAGGATTTTTTATGACCACCACCTACCCCAGGGTCCTCGTCAGGGTTTCCTTTCCTGAAGTGGACAATAATAACTCTAAATATTAATATTTGGTGAACACACCATTTAGGAGGGTTAGTGCAAAAGCAAATCCCGCGTCTGACATCAACAGAAGTGGCAGGAAAAGTTTAAAAAGGAATATCAGAAAAAAGCAGAGTCCACATGACTGAGATAAAACAGGAAGAACTGAACCAGAAGAAGCATATCACCCAGCTTTGTTTAGTAATCTGACAACATTCCACCCTAAAATGGTTCATAATGGGGGGAGGAGTCCGACCAATTCTGCTCTCGGTAGGCACTCCAATGCCCACTAGAATCAAGGCCACATTCTCACCCGGTACCCCCAGCCCTGCCATCTAGTGGCTGGTAACCTAAGAATTGCTTACAGGAAGTGTCGGGGCGCTCGGATGCATTCATTCCTTTCTTTCATAATGATGACACAGCGAAGAGCGGATATACATACGTTCGTTTAAGTTAAGACTCATACGATCCTCCTGGATCACTGTGCAAGCTGCTCGGACAAATGTAGCATCAAATGGAGTCGTGGTGAACAGAAATATATATATTTTAAATACAAGAAAAATAATAACTCTCTTCAATTTATTTATTTATTTTTGGATCTCCTGGAGCCCACCCCATCCACCCCCCACCCCCACCCCATAGACAAGTAGGGCAGTTGCTCCCCTCCACACACAGTGGGCACGCCACCAATCTGACACAAGACATGAAAACCTCAGCATATTGTCAGAAAATTTCGACTCACGTTTGGCGATTGTTAGGTTAAATATTAATAGATACCATCTGTACCCGAACTGCTGCTCCATGGACCATGGTAACAAAAATGGCAGGCAAGGATTTTTGTCGTTCAAATTGCGCAATCTAAAGAGTCTGCATCCGGCTGTTCATCGCGTATGGAATCTGCGGACTCATACGAATTGAACAAATGACAGTGTTGTGACCGAGCGACGATTAATTCTTTATTCACGGAAGAATTAATGGTGATTGTAGACGTTTCCACCATAAGCAATCAACGAGCTAAGGCTCGTGCAAAGGACAGGGGCAGCCAATATCGTCTCGTAACGAGTCAAAAGTCGGCAACATTATGAAAACCACGTGTCGCCAGAACGTCTCGGCGAGGAAAATCTAGCCTTAGGTCCCAAAATGGTCCCGGCTCCAAAATGGTTTTCTATATTCTATCTGTACCAAATCACGAATCCCGATGGAGCGACCTAATAAACTTCATTCTTGTTAAGGGAGCAACCACTCTTTCTTTTCTTAAATTTACAGTTTCAGCGTATTCTGCGACGTTGACTGCGTTTCTTAAGACAAAGTAATCGGTTTTTACCGTTGAATTTCCTTTTCAGATGCTACCGAAGATATCGGAAAAACATTGGCCAACCTGGGCTTTTCGACGATTATGAAGGCGGCTAAAGCCGGGGACGACCCAAAAGTGAAGGCGCTCCTGTCTGCGATCGAAGCCAGGGGCAGTCCGCTCTTGACGGCAAACGAGATAGCAACCAACGCCAGCGCCAATAAGAACACGACAGCTATCAACGGCAGTGCCGATCGTAGCACGACGGCAACCAACGTCGAGGGCAACCTGAGCTCGATGACGATCACAACGGCAACTAACGCCAGCGCCAATCATAGCACGACGGCGATCAATGTCGGGGGTAATTCGAGATCGATGACGATCACAACGGCAACCAACGCCAGCGCTAACCAGAGCACGATGGCGATCAACGTCGGGAGCAACCCAAGCTCGATGACCGGGATCAACGGCAATGCCAATCAGAGCACGACGGCGATCAATGTCGGGGGTAATTCGAGATCGATGACGATCACAACGGCAACCAACGCCAGCGCTAACCAGAGCACGATGGCGATCAACGTCGGGAGCAACCCAAGCTCGATGACGACCGGGATCAACGGCAATGCCAATCAGAGCACCACGGCAACCAACGTCGGGGGCAACTCGAGCTCGATGACGACCACAGCAGCAACCAACGGCAGTGCCAATCAGAGCACGACGGCAACCAACATCGGGGGCAACTCGAGCTCTATGACGACTGGGATCAACGGCAGAGCCAATCAGAGCACGACGGCAACCAACATCGGGGGCAACTCGAGCTCGATAACGACCACAGCGGCAACCAACGGCAGTGCCAATCAGAGCACGACGGCAATCAACGTCGGGGGCAACTCGAGCTCTATGCCGAGTGGGATCAACGGCAGAGCGAATCAGAGCACGACGGCAACCAACGTCGGGGGCAACTCGAGCTCGATGACGACCACAGCGGCAACCAACGGCAGTGCCAATCAGAGCACGACGGCAACCAACGTCGGGGGCAACTCGAGCTCTATGCCGAGTGGGATCAACGGCAGAGCCAATCAGAGCACGACGGCAACCAACGTCGGGGGCAACTCGAGCTCGATGACGACCACAGCGGCAACCAACGGCAGTGCCAATCAGAGCACGACGGCAACCAACGTCGGGGGCAACTCGAGCTCTATGCCGAGTGGGATCAACGGCAGAGCGAATCAGAGCACGACGGCAACCAACGTCGGGGGCAACTCGAGCTCGATGACGACCACAGCGGCAACCAACGCCAGCGCCAACCAGAGCACGACGACGACAACCGCCAGGACCACCCCTAGCACGACGACTACCGCCCGGAACACCCCCAGCACGACGACTACCGCTAGAGTCACCACCAGGACAAGCGTCTCCACCACTCACTCACCACAATCATTCCCAAATTGGAATGGATATGGAAAAAGTAAATAACAAATGGGGTCATATAATGGCAAATATTCGTATATAAGTAAATATAAGTAAAAAGGAACTGCACCATTTTTAGGTCTCTTCCGCAAAAGAGGCCGACTTTAGTGCAAAAATATTTACGTCACCAAGCGCACATTTTGTTAGAATGTCCCGGCACCATTTTCTGCCTTCCGCCAAGCCAAAATCTTGCCCTTTGCGATTTTAAGAGGATAATTTTCCTTTATTCCCTTGCATCGATTCAATCATTTAAAAAATTCGGTTTCGACAGAAAAGCAGACCGTGAACGTCCCACCCCTCTCAGCCTCTTACGGAAACGGCCTGATCCACACCTGGATGAAACAATTGGAGGGAAAGACCAGATGGAAAACTGACTACGACTACAACTACGGCGGCGGCACCGAAGGACGACACGGAAAATACGGAGGACGACACGGAGGAGGAGACAGATTCGACAGCGATAACAATGAAGTCGGACGACGTGACTATCAAGGTGATAATGCAGAATGCAGAAAGCATGACATACAAGCTGGCCGCCATCATGTTAATTTAGGGATGTCGGAATGAGATATTTCGGTATTCCACCAAATCGATCGGCCACTGCAAGCCACCGTTTCAATCTCAGCTCATCCCATGAATTCAGCACAATATTGCCTCCTGCATTAAAAAGAGAAGATCCAGACAACGATACTTAGGCCGAAGAAGTCATGAATCTGACATAACGCCAACATGATTTCCGGCAACACTGCGGGACGGATTACATCATGGAGCGGCCCTAAATTAAAATTAATTTCTTTTTTCCAATTGCGAAATGGTGCAATGCAAGCAATAAATAGGGCACTTTACTTCACCTACTAGTCGATATCTTTCGTTCGGTAGGTCTTTTTTCTCCTAAGTTTTCCGAGTTTCAAATTCTGTGTTGAGAGAGGAAGTGTGCCAAATATCGTTGCTGTTGATTCTCTCAAAGAGGAATACGGAACGGTTAAATTTTGTCGCCTGAAGGAGTTGAAGAAAGGTAATGGGTCATACCGCGCCCATTGACTTTTGAGGCGTAGGTGTCATATCTACAGCAAGTACGGCTGAACGTGCAGTTAAGTTTTTCGCAGTACCGAATGGTCAGCAGTGAGCGTAGCCAAGTTGAGGGCGATAGAAAGAACTCATTTACGAGTATATCCTCGTATGATTGGAAGGAAAAACGCTGGGAATTTATGGAATGGAATCCTCTGAATCAGATTCGAGCTTAGGCAACTATGGAAACCGAGGAGGCGAATATGGAAACCGAGGAGGCAACTATGGAAACCGAGGAGGCGAATATGGAAACCGAGGAGGTAGCTATGGAAACCGAGGAGGCAACTATGGGAGCCAAGGAGGCACGTACGGAGGAAGGGGAGTAAACTTCGGAGATAACGAAGGTAATCCTTGAAACGAAGGAAGTTGTTTATTGCAGAAAATTTACTGTTGAATATCCTTTCAAACAGATTCGGGCGAGGAGGGAACGAGAAGAGCCCAGTATGGAGGCCGAGGAGGCAATTATGGAAACCGAGGAAACAACTACGGAGGAAAGGGAGGAGGCTACGGAGGAGGAGTATTCTTCGGAGATAGAGAAGGTAACTTAAAAAGCATAGGTAGCACAAAATCGTACCACAAAACCACGGAAAATCCATGGTAGAACGTCTTTTGAAGCAGGTTCCAACGAAGAGTGGCATACTGACAACAGATACGGAGGCCGAGGGAGCACCTTTGGAAGAAGAGTATACACCTTCGGAGACAATGAAGGTGGCTTCGGAAGAGGCAGAGGCAACACGAGACCACGAGGATGGAGGAGGCATTACCCCTGCAAGGACAGCGTGGAGGGCCCAGCATGGTGGAAGATCTGGAACTGCTGATTGCCTAATTGCCCTTTCAAATGTCTTTCCGATACGTATCCACCCTTTTCCGAACTACGGTCTATCACGCACTTTGCGCTGCACTATTTGCGCTCTGCACCATGCACGATCTGCACCTGCACGCACCTTGTCCCTTTATGAACCTTCGGCCGATACAAACGCATCTGAGTCGGAGTAATAGCTTCTGTTTCATCCAGAGATTTGGAGCAATCCGCCAAAATATATGCAAAAATAGAAAATATGAGAAAATATAGAAAATAGAAAAATAAATAAATATATGCAAAAAAGCCAAAACGCCGCAAAAGGGACTGTGGGCAACCTGTGGTTCGAGAGCCGTAGTTGGCTCTTAGGATAAATGATTGCCTACCTCCGGTTAATAATGACAAAATTGCACCTCATTATTTGTTTCTGTTTCAAAGACATTTAGCCTCATCTTTACGCTAATCACGTTTGGGACAGGGATTGCATTTACACCCTGAGTCCCACTTTAGGCATACGTAACTCGAAACGGTTCTCCCTCGTTCTGCCGCCGTCATCCGACTGGAAAACCTTCGCGTTGCCGATGACCTTAATGATCCATGCACGCCTGATTCGTTGACCTTCTCTCAGCGCGGTCCTCGACGCGTCCGCTCGCTTTCGAGTCCGCGCGGTTCCTTTCTCGTCTTAGTGGCCTGACTCTCAACTCTCTCCAGTGGCATTAACGATTTCTGGACGACGGTTTCTGGATGCAGCATGCCGTGGCAGGAGATGGTTTTCCTATGTTATGAAAAGCCTATGAACTCATCAAATGGTAGAAATGTAGAAAATTTTCCCCGCATGATTTGAAGCTTCCCCTACCAGCATTTATACCAATAAAGGCAGTATTTAAAAAATTGGGACGTCTTATCCATCTCTTTGTCTGAGTCGNATGGAAACCGAGGAGGCAACTATGGGAGCCAAGGAGGCACGTACGGAGGAAGGGGAGGGGGGGGGGGAGCCGACTACGCTGTCCCATCTTCCATCTTGCGGAAAGCCTTAAATCTCTTTTATATGGAGGCCTCCCAAATTGAACAAGCCGCTCTGAATGGGGCCATGCTGCACATAACGGAAGATCGATGCACGACAGGAAATGGAATGCAGGATCAAGCCTTATTCTTAATACGGTACCAATGATAATGCGGCAATTTCGGCTACCACACGGCTTTCCGGACGACTCAGACAAATCCAGTCAAATCGGGTCCTGATCGGTTCAATTCCTGTGCACTTTCGACTTATCGGCAGTCTCCGGATTAATATGCTACTCCGGAATTCGTCTGGTGACAGATCACATCCGGGCCGATAGCTTGCGTCTGGAGACGGCAGGGACCGAAAGAATCCAAGGACCTCTCAGATAAATCTGCCAAAATGTCGTGTCGTTCGTTGTTGAAGCTGCGCCGACGATCATTCGGATTTCTTTTTTTTTCAGTATTAAAAAAAAAAACGGATTTTGGGGCACACCTACATAAATTGGCAAGAAGTTGGAGAGTAATTTTAATCATCTTTCCTTTCCCTGCAATTTTTCGTGGTTGATGAAGCAGCGCTCCTACAGACTTCAACGCATCATGCTCTTCGAGTTCAATTTTGTTCCAGAAGCACACAATAAAAGCCAATTGTCAACTTGTCAACATTTTGTGCATTGGTTCATAATTTTAATTCTGTCAGGCAGGAGAGGATCACTCGGTTTGACGCGGCCGATTCAAATTTTGTTTTCCGAAAAAAAATGATTTTTTTTGCAATGCAGTGCAACACGCGCGTCGGGTCGGCCTGCTGAAATTGAAACGACTCCGGTCGATATGAAAGTTGCCAAGAAGCTCGACTGCAGCTTCCCGAAGACAGGGTCGTCGAAGTCGGAACGACCTTGCCCGCAAATGTTGCTGAATATCTTCCGGAAGACCGACATTATTTGAAGTGCGGAGGGGCATGAATGGACGAGGGAACAATCCAATTCTGCATTTAAAAAGGGAATCTTCATAAAGCACTGTATGACGCTGCTTCCTTCGCACAATAGACGATGCGGAAAAGGCGCACATCCACCCATTTTCTCCCTGCCGCGAGCCTTTCTTCTCTGTTGGGATTCTTCCGACCCGGAAGGGATGCATACATATACGAACCCGGATGGAGGTTGGAACCCAGTCGGACCAACATGAAGGCACTGTGGATTCTCGCGTTCCTCGCCCTCGCGGCTCTCCATTCCTGTGAGTCTTCCAGCCGTTCGCGTTTTGCGCTCAGTGGTTTCTGGTGGAAGGAGCCCAATAAACAGCTCTGCCACCGAAAATAATTCGTGCTCGAATCTTCCACGCTGTGAGCACCGAGACGAAATTCATTTTCTCGGGTCAAATCGCGCAGTCTCTCGAAGAATGCGCGGTTCTTCGAAATAATTCATTCCTGCCACGGAGCAGGAAAGCCTCGAAGCTGCAAAGCTATAAGCATGACGTGTGCTATCACTTTTCCAATATTTTCATTCGAGATTCGATTAGCTTATTTGGATTCCCTAAAAGCCTCAAGCCTTTCTATGGGATTAATTCAATTCTGGGATGGGGATGAGATCAAGAAGCCTAACCTTCCTTCCGAAGCCCATGACGGGATTAGGATTCGATCCAGCTCGGAAAGCTCCAAACAGAGACACTGCAAGTCGCCAAAGTTAGCTTTGAACCGACCAATTGGACAAGGGGTTCGGTTAACAATTTTATCTAACCCTTTGCTCGAAGTGCTGATGAATTCAATCGTGAAACGATGGAGCAAAACTTCTTAGAGAGAAATCGCCAGTGTTTCGAATTTTTTTGCATCTTAAGTTTTATTTTTCGTGTCACGATTCCCCCCAATGCGTACAAACAAAATCAGTGAACAGCCGAGGTGCATGCTGGTTTTTATTCCCGAGATGCCTGACTGTACCATGAAAGAGATGAGCCAAGGTCAACAGAGAGGGAAACGGGATTCCCGATTTCGGGAGCGGGACGGAAAGTCATCGGCAGCACGCTCTTGCATTCATCAGGAACGACAGGGAGAGAAGAAGCGAAAAAAAAACAGGACGCAAAAAAATTAATGGGACCATAAACTTTCAGTCTTCTTCTCCCCCCCCCCCCCTCCTCCCTTAGACCCTGTCAATCGGGTTCTGGCAGACCTCCTCCTGAGAGATTACCATATTTACTGTAGCGCGATGGTCTCACCCAGATGGAAGCAAGCAATGCCAGTTTTTGCTGTAGGAATATCTGCATGGGGATGGATCGGGATGACACCTGTTCGGGTATGGAACAAAATAGAAAAAAAAATTCGGGAGCGGGAGTAAGAAATTCTCAAGTTCGTCAACTTGAGAATTTCTTGTGATTTCTTGTAGCATTCACCATTTCTTGTCGCATTTTCTATTTCTCGTCGTACTCCCCAGTTCCTGTCGCTCGAGCGGCGATTGCCCCCCCCCCCCCTTTTCCCCCCCTCTTTTTCCCCCTTATTCCTCCATCATGTTCCCCTCTGAATACTTATCGGTCGAAATGGAGGACGAATGGCGTCGAATGGCCGAGTTGGGCTGCAGCACGACCTCGAGGCATCATGAAATGCAGCGGGACATGCATGATTACATCGAGTTAGCAAATTGTCCAAAATTTTCACATTCACGACTGATTCGTCGCGAATTCGTCGCGACTTCGAAGAGACAACATTGAGCTGTTGACCGATCGATGGAGCAATAACTATCGGAGCCGTTGTTTTTGTTGTTGCATTTACGTAACGGGGGAAAAAAAAAATGAAATCTGCGGATCGAGTCACGAGTGCAATTTAAAAAGACAGAGGATATGAAAACATGCCGAGTGATTCCTTTCTTTCACTTTCTTTCAGACGCCATAGAACATGAATCCGGTGAGTGACTTTCCAGATGGGGATATTCTCGTGGAAAAAAAACTCTGGAGCCGATGGGGAATTTTTTTTTTTTCCCTCTCCCTCACAGAGACGGCGGGAAGCGATTTCCCCGAGATGCGAGGCGGGAGCCGACGCCTTCAAGGCTGGGGCTGGGGACATCACGGCGATAGGCGGAAAGGACATAAAGGACATAAAGGACATGGAGGCCAGTCGGAATGCCTTCTTCCTTGCCTGAATCCGATTTTGTCGCGATCGTAAAATCTCGAATGCGAGAGAAAAACACGATAGAAGCGCGAGACGGACGAGATCCTGCCTTTTCCGATTGGTTTCTTCCCCTGTTTCCGTTTTAAATGAAAGGTGGCTTCACTATCCACGCAGGATTATTTCGAAATCGCACGCTCATATAAAGGGGATAGCCAACTCTCGAAAATATCTGGGATATTTTCGAGAAAGAATGTCTCTCTGAAAGAAATATGGAAGCGGATTAGCTCTTCTAGCCGTGCATTCGACCGAAATTTGGCATTTTGGCAAGCAGAGATCTTCGCACAATATAAGAGCAAAAATGGCAAAGTGTGCTTAATATGATTCCTTTCTCCCTCGCTTGATTATTCTTTCCCCCTTCCATTGATTCGACTTCGCTTCAACTGAGGCTACTAAAGAGCAAGGTTGCCGATTTCGCGGGAAAGGAATACTTATGGGAAGCCAGCCAGGCACCATGACGTCACGGAGAAGGTCAATGGGCCAGAAGCGAGTGTAACTGTAATGTGTAATGATGGTGTGTAATGAATAAGTGTAATGACTCCTAGCTGTAGACTTTAGCTCAGTGCGTCTGCAATGAAATGGGCGCCGAAAGGCGTCAAAGAAAAGTGCATTTCATGCGGAAAAACCACTTGAGGGCTGACAAGTCGGAAGGGAAGGGTCTAGAAGGGAAAATTGTATCTCTCAGCTGTTGGGATCTGAAGTCCGAAAAGGTTTCCTTCTGCAACTGGGTGTGAATCGGGATGGCGTGTTAAACGAATCCGTCGGTCGAGAAGCAATGACCCTTTCTGCATACATCAGTGGCTGAGTTGAGAAGACAAAGAAACTGGACCTTATTGCAGACTTCCTTTTGAAACAGGTTCTAGCGAGGAGAGGAAACAGCCCGCCCCAAGCATAACGACGAGTCCTACGACGACCGCCACCATCCTAACCAATCCGAGCACGACGACCGCCACCACCCGAGCCAATCCGAGCACGACGACCGCCACCATCCTAACCAATCCGAGCACGACGATCGCCCCTTCCCCACAACAATTGCAGGATGGCAAGCGGGACGGAGGAGGAAAAAGTAATTCGTAAACAGAAGCAGATAGTGAACAAGCCCTTAGTTTATTGAGGTTGGGGAGACGAGAGGCGAAGGAATGTACTGTTTTTGTACACTTCCGAAGCAAGGAGCAAAGCGAAGCGAGAAATATTGTAACTGGCAGAAAATAGCAGATTGCTGTGAATAGCAATCAATAGTATCAAATAGTTAAAGGTTAGTAAATAGCAAATGGCACTCGATAGTAGTAAGTTGCAGTAAAAACCATAGGATAATAAATTGGGCGTACTTAAGCATTAACTCAAACCTGCTCGAACAATCAGCCTGGGCAGAGGCGCACTATTGTAAAAGAGACTGAGTAATTTATACCCGAATTTCCTTTGCATCAGATTCGAGCGAAGAAGGGAAGAACTATGGCATTTATGAAGGCCAAGGATGCAATTGTGGATGCAGAGGAGGTACATGCGGAGGCAGAGGAGGTGGATACGGAGGCAGAGGAGGCACTTACGGAGGCAGAGGAGGCACTTACGGAGGCAGAGGAGGCACTTACGGAGGCAGAGGAGACAACTACGGAGGAAGGGGACACTTTGGAGATGGTGAAGTTTGAAACGGAGGCGTTTTTTTAACATCACCTCAGGCAATTTATGGCAGAATTACCTCCGAAACAGATGGAACAGAAGGGGAGAGTGACGGGAGCTATGAAGGCCGAGGAGGCAACTTCGGAAGAAGAGGAGGCATCGTTCGAAACGGAGGAGGTAAAACGGATTGCGAAGGCGGCATTCCACAAGTTCACAAAAAGTGAACCCCTATCACACCCAGTATCCTTTCGAACAGATTCGGGCGAAGAGGGAACGAGAAGAGCCCAGTATGGAGGCCGAGGAGGCAATTATGGAAACCGAGGAAACAACTATGGAGGAGGGGGAGGAGGCTACGGAGGAAGAGGAGGAGGCTACGGAGAAAGAGGATTCTTCGGAGATGGAGAAGGTAACTTTGAAAGCACAGGGAGCACAAAATCATACCACAAAACCACGGAAAATCCATGGTAGAACGTCTTTTGAAGCAGGTTCCAGCGAAAAGTGGAATACTGACAACAGATACGGAGGCCGAGGGAGCACCTTTGGAAGAAGAGTTTCATTGTCAAACTGCGCAACTTGACGTCACATGGTCATAAACATTGTACATTGCTTCTGACAATTGTGATTTGCTATTTGTGGGCATGTGACGTCAAATTGTTCAGATTGACGATGAATAAGTGAATCATAATCAGGGTTCACTTTATTCCCGCCACCCTGTGTTTCACACGAAGCTCCGGCAAAATCGTTCTCTTTTTATCAGACTCTAGTGACGAGAGTATGAGTCAAGGCAATCATGGAACCCGAGGAGGCCATCACGGGAGTCGAAGAGGTCATTATGGGAGTCGTGGAGGCAACTACGGAGGTAGAGGAGGGAATCATGGAAGCGGAGAAGGTACCATCCATAGAAGAGGTGGCATTTAGTTGCAACGCGAAACTCCAGAAAATTAATCGACGAATGTTGTTTGTAACAGACTCGGGTGAAGATAGTTCGAGCCAAGGCAATTATGGAGCCCGGGGAGGCAACTACGGGAGTCGAGGAGGCCATTCTGGGGGTCGTGATGGCCATTCTGGGAATCGTGATGGCCATTCTGGGAATCGTGGAGGGGGATACGGAGGAAGAGGAGACTTTGGCGACGGCGGAGGTAAGATTTGAAGTGTTTCATCAACACGTAACACAAATCCAGTGGAAATTATGCTATTCAATAGAATATCCTACGAAACAGATTCGGGCGAAAAATGGGAGAGCGACGGTAACCACGGAGGTCAAGGAGGATACTTTGGAAGGAGAGACATCTTTGGAGAAAGCGGAGACGACTTTGGAGGCCGTGGATTCAACTTCAGAGGAGGTGGAGGCAACACGAGACCACGAGGAAGAAACTGGGACGGAGGCAGCAGTGGAGAATCGGCACGAGGCCCCCATTCACCCGAAGAATCCTACGGACCGATAGAGGGAAGGCGGAGGAAGCATCGCTCGTGCAAGGACAGCGTGGAGGGCACCGAGTGGTGGATGATCTTCAACTGCTGAATACCCGATTGCCCGTTCATATGCCATTCTCGCACGTCCCCACCCACGTCCGAATTACGGTCTATCGTCTGTCACGCACATCACGTCACTGCACCGTGCACCGTCTGCACTTGCACGCACCTTCTTCCCAATACAGCAGCTCGTTCACAAAAAAAAATTCTCTGCATTCGAGCGATACAGACGCATCCGAGACGAAGAGGAATCGTTTCTGTTCATTTCTTGCAGGAAATTCGGGCAATCCGCTCAAATTTCAGGCCAACCCTCAATAAAAAATATTCTTAAAGATGACCTGCACTGGAACTGTTCGCACACAATTAATTGCAAGCAACTCACGATAAACGTCTAAAAGCCATAATGATCCAGTGAACTTCACGAAGCGCAGCCATTCCCCAGGCTTTCAAGAAGAAGCCTTCTATCGAAATAGTTGGCCGGTCGTATCACCGAGCGATGTAAATTAATTAGTAGAATCTAATCATAGTAGATAAATAATGTAGGTACATTACATTTAGATAAATGTAATGATTGAGGCACCCAGAAAAAATTGTCAAATTTGAAATCTGTATAAAATATGCAAATAAGAAAAATGCTCAGAAAGAATGAACTTTCCCGAATAATTGCATTATGCTGCGACCAATTATACAACAGCGGCACAACTATTTCTGCCCACTCGCAGAAAAAAAAAATTTGCATATTTGCAGTACCATGGGAGACAGTCTCAAGCAACTCCCTCTCAGTCTCCCAACTCAACAATCGGCACCTGAGTAAATTCTACGATGCAGAAAAAAAATTATGCAACTTCTTTTTTGCTGCTGTTTCGTGTTTCGATTTTTGTCCGGCTTTCTCAGAGCGGCAGAAACAGCTCTCGTGGTATTTGCCCTTGCTGGGAGGAGGTGATGGCGTCACCTATGACGTCGCACAAAAAAATCAGTGAAGGTATTTGCGCTTGGTCGGATGCAGTTGAACAAAGAAAGATCGCGCAGATGCGTGACGTCACGGTGTTGTATAAGCGGTGAAAATCATAAAATCACCGTAAAAAATTTCAGGGCGAAAAACCTGATAATGGAATAATTTTGAAACCGTGCGGTTCGCAATAAACGGCCGCAATAAATGGCTCTTCAAGAGCTAAAAACCGGATGGAGCTTGAATTGGGAATGGAATCGGGAGTGACGGAAATCCGCGGACGCGGCGGAGAAAATTCATTGTTGGGCTCTCACAGGAACAGAATATTCGATGCGATTGTGGGGGTCGACGCGGGTCGATGCGGAAATAACCCGTCGCGTTTCGAGGTATGAGCCGCTCATTAATCTGCGTGGCGTCGCACAATGCACAATGGAGCGACATGACCGGAACACGCACTTTTCATTTTTCCACGGTTCATTCCGTTCTGCTCTCGTCGGCACCCCGCCTATGGGGTGCCCGGGCGCGGTCCGGAGGGATGGCAGAGTCCGGCTGACATGAGGAGACATGACATGAGGAGACGGTGGTTGGTGGCTTTCCTCGCCCTCGCGGTTCTCCGCGCCCGTGAGTTCTCAGTTTCCTCTGCTTAGGGCTCGTTCACACTGCGAAAATTTTCTCGCGTCGACGAAGCACAAATATTGCAGAATATTTTTCGAAGGGAAAATGTCCGGATCCCTCAAAAAAAAAAATTTAACATGCAAATGAAACTTTCGAAGGCAACTTGCAATGCAAATTTAGGGAGAAATTTTTTTTGGTGTGGACGAGACCTTACGTGCCGAATTGTTATTAATATGTTAAACTAATCAACAGTAATTAATAAACAAATAATTAGCTACCTGGAAGTACTTGCACCATGTTCCATCGAATTGCATTTTGTGAGCTCGAATGAAGTTTGCTCATTATAAAGCTACCCCACCATGCAAAGCCACCTCTCCGTGCAAAGCCACCTCTCCGTGCAAAGCCACCTCTCCGTGCAAAGCTACCTCTCCGTGCAAAGCTACCTCTCCGTGCAAAGCCACCTCTAACGACATGGAATGTGCAATCATCGACCCAGTATTCATTTCGCCTGCTTTTCCACCTTCAACGACTCCCACAATTTGCCAATAATTGTCGCTCGAGAGGGCCCAGATGAATTGGCTTCCGGCGAGCAGAGATACAAAAGAACATTTCATTTCCAGGCAGCTTTGCCTCGATCAGGCCGATATGCCTCTTTTCAGCACCAACTCTTCTCGAGCTGGCAAATGCGATCAGGAAAGATGATGATTATGCGAGTCGTTTAAAAAATCGTGCCATTAAGTTTCTGCCATTCCTGAATATAAACAATTTAAATTTATAAAATTGCCTAGAAGTCAAGTTTTTTTTTTTCAAACATAAAAAAGTGCAACGCGAATTTTACGCCGACGAAGGAAAGTGGGTCTGAACGCCGCTTGCAGTTCAGTGGCTAGCTGACGATATCGATCTGCGACGGATTTCTCCTTTCTGCAAGGGAAAGAGTAGAATCCGCACGAAAAGGAGACTTTACACATTTTATTCTGATTTACGAATTATTATATCCCGAGGCGATATGCTACGGGGCGAATCTACCCATCGCGCTCGAAAGCGGCTCCTTAATAATGGCAAAAATAGTCTAAAGTAATGGAATCTCCTCGTCCATTACAACCGGGTTTCAATTTACGAGAATCGTGAACGTGTCAAGGTTTCACGCGGTTGTGTCGCGCCGCCGCATCTCAAGGAAAACCTGGCGGGGAAAATGCTGAAGAATCGGATATTTCACTCCACCTGCTAAATGAGGGAGGAAAGAGGGAAAGGCGAAACGGAGGAGGAAAAGATGGCGGAAAGAAAGGAAGAGACGATTAATCGACTCCAAAACGGCCATGGTTCCGGTTGACATTGGCCGAACGTGAGAGCCCGGAGGGAGGGGCGGGGGGGGGGGGGGGGGGGGGGT